TGTCACCCTGCTTATTTAACTTATATGCAGAGTACATCATGAGAAATACTAGGCTGGATGAAGCACAAGCTGGAATCAAGATTTCTGGGAGAAATATCAACAACCTCAGAAAAGCAGATGACATGACCCTTAAGCAGAAAGCAAAGAAGAACTAAAGAACCTCTTGATGAAAGTAAAAGAGGAGACTGAAAAAGTTGGCTTAAAGTTCAACATTCAGAAAACTAAAATCGTGGCATCTGGTCCCATCACTTCATGGCAAATAGATGGGGAAACAGTGGAAACAGTGACAGACTTTATTTTGGGGGGCTCAAAAATGACTGCAGGTGGTGATTACAGCCATGAAATTAAAAGACGCGTACTCCTTGGAAGAAAAGTTATGACCAACATAGATAGCATATTAAAAAGTGGAGACATTGCTTTGCCAACAAAGATCTGTCTAGTCAAAGCTACGGTTTTTCCAGTAGTCATGTACGGATGTGAGGGTTGGACTATAAAGAAAGCTGAGCGCGGAAAAATTGATGCTTTTGAACTGTGGTGTTGGAGAAGACTCTTGAGAGTCCCTTGGACTGCAAGGAGATCCAACCAGTCCATCTGAAAGGAAATCAGTCCTGAATATTTATTGTAAGGACTGATGCTGAAGCTGAAGGTCCAATTCTTTGGCCACGTGATATGAAGAACTGACTCTAAAAAGACTCTGATGCTCGGAAAGACTGAAGATGGGAGGGGAAGGGGACGACAGATGATGAGATGGTTGGATGGCATCACCAACTCAATGGACATGAGTTTGAGTAAACTCCAGAAGTTGGTGATGGACACGGAGGCCTGGCGTGCTGTGGTCCATGGGGTCACAAAGAGTTGGACATGACTGAGCGACTGAACTGAACTGAATGCCAACTGCGTGCTTAAAAGTGGTTGTGATGACAAATTTCATGTCATGTGTACTTCACCAGTTTTCAAAACAGTAATGATAAAGTCATTTCTCCTTTATTCCCTGAGTTTTCTCCTCCTGGCCTTTCCAAGAAAGCAGCCAGTCCTTTGCCTTTCTGAAGACAGCCCCTTTCTTGACCCTCAGAAAGGGCTTGGGGTCAGGTGTCAGGATCGGGGCAGAGGTGAGAGAAGGTATGTGTGAAGGGCTGGGCAAGGGCTTGTCCTGTGACTTCAACCACAAAGACCCCTACTTGGTGTATCAGGGAAGGGCTGCTCCCCACTGCCGACCCCCCACCCCCAGCCCGTGCAGCAGAGAGCAGCAGAGCCTGGGGCAATGGGATTCCCAAATGCTGAGTGGCAGACGGGACTCCAGGACTCGAATCTCCTGGGTGGGGCTGGCAGTGCCCAAATAACCATGCAGGGTGACTCTCCCCGCCCCAGCCCAAGGCTCCAGGAGGGCATCATCAGGGCACAGGGTGGGACTGGCAGTGCCCAGATAACCATGCAGGGTGACTCCCCCCCCCAGCCCGGGGCTCAAGGAGGGCATCATCAGGGCACGGCGTGTCTGTGGGCTCCCGGGGTTGCCTGGCAGCTGCTCGAATAGTGGTGGATGATCTTGCAGTGATGGGGTTGTCCACGTGGGTGAGAAGCATCTGCGGGTGGCAGCACGAGGCCACGCGGCTGTACATCACCATGAGCGCGCCCTTCACTGTCTCCCGCCTCCAGGGATGGTCCTTCTGTGAGGCCAGAGAGAAGGGGAAGAGACACTGTGGCCATCGGGGAGAGGATCTAATCCTCAGGTGTTCCCTGGGCACCTGAAGCGCTCAATCATGTATTCTCTCACTGAACACACTTTCATGAGCCCCTGCTGTAGCGTGGTGAGCAGGTCAGACCGTGGCCATGACTCCACGGTCGCAGGGGTTCTGTGCAGGCACCCCACCAGAGGCGGCTGTGCGCGCCTTCACACCTTCACCTCCTGAGCACCTGCTCTGGGCCAGGGGCTCCGAGATGCTGGTGATTCACTGGGAACAGAGAGCCTCAGCCCAGCTCTTCCAGGAGGAGGTGTTGGAGGCCACCCAACCCACCATGAGAGGAGGAGCAGGGGAGCCCACGCTCTCCAGTCTTTGAGTAGAAATCCAGGTCTGAGGCTCCACTTTATGGAGAAGCCGGGAGAGAAGCCGGGACACTCCCAATTCTCTGTCTCCAAACTACCAGATCCCCAGGGCAAAGGTTCAAGGCTAAGGCCAAAACCTGAATCATCGGTTGTGACACAGCTGGTGGCCCCCTGGGGGCTCATGCAGCCCTGGGCACTGTGCCCTGTGGATGGAAGGGACAGCCTCCAGAGCCCAGCCTTTGTCCGCCTCGGTCCAATTCCCTGCTTCACTTTGGCGAAGGACACAGAGGGGAGTTTCTTACTGAGATCTAGTAAGACTGCAAGGAGAGCCAACCAGTGCATCCTAAACAAGATCAGTCCTGAATATTCATCAGAAGGACTGATGTTGAAGCTGAAACTCCAATACTTTGGCCACCTGATGCAAAGAGCTGACCCATCTGAAAAGACCCTGATGCTGGGAAAGATTGAAGGAGGGAAGAGAAAGGGACGACAGAGGATGAGATGGTGGGATGGCATCACCAACTCCATGAACATGAGTTTGAGTAGGCCCCAGGAGTTGGTGATGGACATGGAGGCCTGGCGTGCTGCGGTCCATGGCGTCACAAAGAGTTGGACATGACTGAGTAACTGAAATGAACTGAACTGAACTGAAGAGCCTTGGTTGGGGGCTGAAAACACCTTTCTAAGAGGCCCCCAGAGAGCTGACGATGGAGCAAGGGTGCCTCACCCGCCAGGCACCGATCTGCCAGGACTGCTCCGACTCCTGGATCCTCTCTTCAAAGTCATGGAGCATGCCCAGCACCGTCTTCACCTGGCCCCGGGCACACAGGCCAAAGCACAGGATCACACCCTGTGGGGAGACCCAGCGGACAGGGTGAGGGTTGGGGGGGGACACCCCATCTGTCCCCCGACACACACACACGGATAAACAGACACGCACGCGCACACTCAGATAAACACAATGCCCGCACACAGGCACAGGCCTGCACACACCATGTCCTCCTGAGGCCCGGGGGGGCCACGGGGCACCCTCACCTCCCAATCGAAGTCGTCTCTGTAGTCCGTCTTGTAGAGCAGCTCCACCAGCAGCACCTCCACCTTGTCGGCCTCCAGGCTCCCACATGTTGGCCATGGAGGGGGCGATGCTCTGGCTCAGGGTCTTCAGAAGGTTGAGCACGGTGATTCCGCAGCCCTCCCCCTTGTAGGGGGATGATATCAGTACCTGGGGAACACCGAGACTCCAGTGGGGCCCCCTCGCTGGCTGGGTAGCCCTAGGCCCTGCACGCCCCAAACTGGGGCCTCGCTGTCCGAGCCCAAAGAGGGAGAGTTGGACAGGATGGGGCCTTTCAAGCAGAGCTCCGAGGATTCCCAGGATCAGAGCATCCCTGCAGAGGATGCTGAAGGCAGGAAAGGAGACACGAGAGCATGGGCTCCCTCCACACCCCGGGTTCCATGGAGCTCAGAGCAGGGTCAACACAAGGAGGAGGATGCATGGTGCAGGGCGGAGCTGACCCCCAGGGAAGGGCAGACTGCTGACAGAGTCCTGTGGATGCTTGGGGCCATTCAAAGGCCCAGCAGAGAAATCTGGGAGCCTGCTGCCCTTGCCATATCTCCCCAGATGGACAATGGGATCCTGGAAAGCTCTGTCCTGCCAAGCATCCAGCTCCCTGCTCCCCCTGGAGGCCCCGGGGATTAGAAACTCATGGGAGGGGCACTTCAGGACATAGTGGGGGCCAGGCCAGTGCATGGCACCGTGAGCCACTCACCAGGAGTCGGGGCAGCAGCTTCTGTGGTGCGGGCAGATCCACTGGGGAGAGAAAGATACAGCACACTGAGGCTGCCCCGCTCCTGTACTGTGGGGGAGCTTCACCTGCAAGGTGTTGCCCCAACAGCATCCCAGCACCCCGCAGAATGCAGGAGGAGTCAGGATGGGGGATTTTTCATAAAGAACATCATTACAACTGGCCATCCCCGGAGAAAGTGCCTGGTGCTACATGCTGGGGCTGAGAAGATGCTTTTTTTTTTTTTTCCAACTTATTTATTTTAATTCGAGGGTAATTACTTTCCTATATTGTGGTGGTTCTTGCCATACATTGACATGAGTCAGCCCTGGGTGGACATGTGTTCCCCATCCTGAACCCCCTCCCACCTCCCTCCCCATCCCACCCCTCAGGGCCGTCCCAGTGCACCAGCCCTGAGTGCCTGCCCTGTTTCATGCAGTGAACCTGGACTGGCGATCTATTTCACATATGGTAATATACATGTTTCAGAGCTATTCTCTCACATCATCCCACCCTCACCTTCTCCCACCAAGTCCAAACGTCTATTCTTTACCTCCGTGTCTCTTCTGCTGTCTCACATATAGGGTCATCGTTACCATCTTTCTAAATTCCATATATATGGGTGCATATACTGTGCTCTTTGCAGGAGGTGCCCACCTGGGCATGTAGTGCCAACACTCATCCCCACAAAATTCACTCATGTTCCTCAGTCTGCCATCTGCAGACATGTTAACCAGTATGGGACAGACCCCCGAAGGCACTCGTTACATGCCCCTTCTTCCACAGCCCACATTTGCTCTACCTTCCACTCTCCTCTGGGCTTTTTTTTTCAAAGACTATTCAAGTGACATGGTTGCAATTCCATCCCAAAGACCCTGACTGTGCGCCTGCAGTGTGCAGCTAACTCTGGTTCTCCGCGTGGTGGATACAGAGATGGGTGGTTGCTGTTCAGTCGTGTCTGACTCTCTGTGACCCCAGACTCCTCCGTCCATGGGATTCCCCAGGCGAGAATACTGGTGTGGGTTACCATTTTCTTCTCCAGGGGATCTCCCAACCAAGGGATCGAAGCTGCATCTCTTATGTCCCCTGCATTAGCAGGCAGGTTCTTTACCACTTGCACCACCTTGGAAGCCCACACTCTCTTGTAGCATGCTTCATTTCAGAAAGGTCACAGGTCAATAACTTTAGAGACACCAGACCCAGTGGCTGAGTTGCCTGATACCAGCTCTAGTTGTTTTGAACCTCTGATGAAGAAAAAAAAATAAAAAGGATGACCTTCTAGAGGATGTAAAACTTCTTTCTATTCCCATGGGAGGGGCACAGCTCTCGAGGTGCTAGCCTGCCATTTCTCTTTTGCCTGGAAAAAATAATTTACTCTTTTTTATTTCTTCCAAACTCTGTCTCTGTATTTCTGTTTGGCATCTGTGGACCAGGAGCCAAGATTTTGGGAAAATAACTGGTGTGAACAGCTTGTGTTCCCAAAGCCACCTAGGGAAGGATTAAAGTGGGCTGGGGTCAGCAGAAATCCTAGCTAGTGTGACCCCAGCTCCAATTGGAAAACCCATATTTTTGAAACTTCTATGTGTAACACAAAGAAGAAAACAAACCAACAAAGTTGAGGACAAAATTAAAGAACAAGTGGAGAAGAAGAGGCAGGTGGATAGAAGGGTATTTTCAGTGATAACAGTTCAGTTCAGTCACTCAGTCGTGTCCAAC